GTCTTAATTTATTTAGCTAAAAGCATTTGCCGAAAAAACCGGTGCCGGTAGCAACAAAAACTGCGGGGAACCATGCAGAAAACGCATCTTCGCACGGGCAGCCCGTGCATTGGCCAATTATTCATACGTGGAAAGCCGCAAGAGTGTTTGGCCCGTGCGGTCATGCGTTTTTGCACTGGACTTGAAATACTCAGGTTATTAACTGCATTAACAGTTGTTGCTTTTCACATACCTTTTGCAGTCACTGGCGTAAATCACCAAAAATCTTGCATAAATTAAATGTACAAGTAAATATACGATTTCACGGTCGCTCTTTAAAAGTAACCTGGCTGTTCAGTGAGAAATTTTTCCACCAAAATTTTTAGTCCGTACGTAAGGACCAAGCATAGCTTGAGGCTGAATTTGAAATTTTTAAATTGCAATTGGATAAGGAACATCCTCTGAAATTTTAGCCTTCCAACTTTTCTGGTTGCCGAGTTAGTAACTTTCCCGCAGAAACTTCCACACGCCCTTACAGAAGTACCACGCATAGCTTGGAGCTGAATCTGAAATGTTTGAGTTGTACTTGGATAGGGCATTGCTCCCTATCCTCACCCTCTGCCTCTAAAGCGGTATCTCGGCACCTATTATTCATCATCCCCCAATCACGTTTCCCTCTACCCATCCTGTAGAGTAACGTCGCCCAGCCCTCGCTGGCAACGCGCCAGGCTGTTGGCAAGCGATGCCGTGAAATAGCATTAGCAGGGAAACAAGAACGACTGTCAGTGGCGGTCGCCGAACCGGGTCGAATTTTAGTAACTATTTCAGCCTGCGATACACGGATTGCGAAGAGAGCACTGGATTTGGCCGAGGTTTGTGTATATTACTAAAACACGGCTCGGCTCGTCTCCTGCACGAACTGCAAAAAATTTTTTTTCCGGAAGGCGGGTAGGGTTGCCCTACGGCGGATGGCGGTAGTTTGAATGAGGTGCCAGTGTAAGTTAAAAAAAGTAGAAGGGAAAGATTTTTATAGCTTTTCAGGTCAGGCATATTTGATGTGTAACATATGAGGTAGGCGCATTTTATAGTCCCTTGAGGTCATCTATACACCTCCTACCTTGGCTACGCCCACATTCTTCCCGTATATAAGCCCGCTTTTTGGGCACAAAACTCAGTCTCTCCGCTCCGCTCGGACTGAGTGGCGGGGGCGAGTTGTTCGCCCACTGCCCTCAGTCCTCACTACCAGGGGGGGAGGGGTATGTCGCGTTAAGCAATGTTTATAAAACAGTTTTAAATAGCGATGATTTATGTTCATGTTATATTTCTCGGCAGTTAATCATCACTTATTTTCGCGAATATGCACATATGGTGGTGTTTTCGTAAATATGTACATGTGATGTTTTGTCAAACATGAAACACGTTGACAAAACGGGTAGTGGGGATCAACGGTCGAGGACGAGGTGGCGGTCGGCGACAGGACTGTATTTTGGGGTGCGACGTGGAAGACGAGGTGGCGGATTCGGCAGGGCCGCGGCGATCGGGAGGACTCGGTGAGATTTAGAACCAGAGGCCTGGCCTTTTCGGCCGCTGGATACTAGTATTATCGCCGCTGCACGACGATATTTCTGATTTGGCACATTGGACATTCTTCTGCTTGAACCTGAGGTAACGATTTGATAGTTAAATTTTTGGAAACTACACTAGGATTTCGAAGAGCCCGGACGAATAAGACAGGAGAATTGTTGCAACCACTGAATCACCGAATTCTGCTCTCTGAACTTCGGAATCGGAATTCTATTCCGCCACAAATTTCTTCCGCAACAGGATGTGCGGCTTAGGGGGACTGAGTGGCGGAGGCGAGTTTGGTCGCCCACTGCTCTCAGTCCTCGCTACCGGAAGTGGGGGGTGTGCGGCTTAGGGTGCCGGAATGGCGAGGGCGAGTTTGTTCGCCCACTGCTCTCAGCCTTCACTACCAGGGAGGAGGGGAAATGGGAAAATTTGATGCCTAGGAAGAGAGATAGGGGAGGAGAAGAAATTTCTACACGCACTAATCGCCGCTCACCCCTCCGCGCGCTCCCACAACCATGGCTGTCCCTCTATTATCCCGCCTCTCCATCAGCCAGACCGTTCAGCCGTTGCGGCCTGGGTAACGTTGCCCTGCTTTACTGGCAGGCTGCCAAACGATCCCAGTGAGCGACGCCACGAAACACCGTTGCCAGATATGACAGAGGGCTTTTCAAGCACCAACGACCACCAGCCGATCCAAGCCGAGCCGAGTCGAACCGAGCGGAGCCGAGTTGTAGTTTTTGCCTGGTTCATTGCGTTAGCAGCTGCGTCGGTGGGTGCTTCACGTGGTTGGTTGTGGTGTGTTTGGTCTGGTAGTTTTGGGGTTAGGTTTGAGGTCGGTGGATGTTTCAGTAGGGTTTTTCGGAAACGAGAGAGGGGGATTCCCCACTGGTCTATCGCGTAATATATCAAATAGTGATTAATGGTTTTTGTTAAAAATAGATTAAAGACCAACTGCG